AATTATCATAAATTAGGATTAAGAGAAGAAAAGCTTATGGAGGCTGGGTTACTCTTTCCAATATTGTTTATGATAACTTTTAAACACATACAAAGTAGAGAGAAGACTATAATGAATTTCCACATACCCATTATCCAAACACTGTACCATGCTTATCAAAACTTTATCACTTTCCTTCATCTATCCCTTTTTCCCCTTTGTGAAACTACTTTAAAATAGATCCTAAATATGATATTTCCTAGCTACATATTTCAGCATGCATCTCTTTAAAATGTGGTTATTTTCTTCCTTACTGCAATATCAATATCATGCTAACAAAATTGAGAATAAATCTTTGGCAGCAAGATGCAGTGGTTTGCACCTGTAATCCCAATATTATGGGAGGCTGTGGCAGGAGGATTACCTGAGGCCAGAAGTTCAGACAAGTCTGGGCAACATAGAGAGACATCGTCTATACAAAAAAATTTTTAAATTATCAAATTTTTTAAACAGGGGGGAAAAAAGAGAAATTTTTAAATTATTAAAAGTAAAAACAGGCCAGGCTGTGTCTGAAGGGCAGGGCAGCTCCTCTAGCTGCTCCTGGGAAGGCGCTGGTGCAGGGTTTGTTACTCCTCTGGGTCACCTCCTTCTCCCTGCCGGTGGACATCTGGGACTTTGACCCTTCTTTTTTAATCTACTTTTGCTAAGATGCATTTAATAAAAAGGGGGGATACAAAATGCAAATCTATTTCCCTCACCTCTTGGACTTCTGGGATGCCATCACCTCCAGTTGTTGGGTTTGTCTCCAACTGTTAATAAAGCATTGAACTGGGAAAAAAAAAAAAAAAAACAGGCCAGGCATGGTGGCTCACGCCTGTAATCCTAGCACTCTTGGAGGCTGAGGCAGGCGGATTGCTCAAGGTTAGGAGTTTGAAACCAGCCTGAGCAAGAGTGAGACCCTGTCTCTACTAAAAATAGAAAGAAATTAATTGGCCAACTAAAATATATAGAAAGAATTAGCCAGGCATGGTGGCACATGCCTGTAGTCCCAGCTACTCAGGAGGCTGAGGCAGTAGGATTGCTTGAGCCCAGGAGTTTGAGGTTGTTGTGAGCTAGGCTGACACCACGGTACTCAATCTAACCTGGGCAACAGAGCAAGACTCTGTCTCAAAAAAAAAAGACATCTGCCCTAGAATGTCTACAGCAGCACAATTGACAATTGCAAAGATGTAGAAACAAATCAAGTGCCCATCAATACATGAGTGGATCAATAAAATGTGGTATATGTATAACATGGTGTTTTACTCAGCTACAAAAAACAATGGTGAACTATCACCTCTTGTATTATCCTGGATAGAGCTGGAGCCCATTCTACTAAGTGAAGTATCACAGGAGTGGGAAAACAAGCACCACATGTACTCAACATCATATTTATATTAACTGATCAACACTTATGTGCACATATAGTAGTAACATTCATCAGATGTTGGGCAGGTAGAGGGATAGGAAGGGATGGGTATATTCACACCTAATGGGTGCAGTGTGCACCATTTGGGGGATGGACATGCTTGAAGCTCTGACTCAGGAGGGGAAAAGACAATATATGTAACCTAAACATTTGTACCCCCATAATATGCTGAAATAAAAAAAAAATCATCTATTGAGGGACACTTAGATTGATTCCCTATCTTTGCTACTGTGAATAGTGCTGCAATAAACATATGAGTATGGGTATCTTTTTGATATAATGATTTCTTTTGGGGAGGGTAAATACCCAGTGGTAGAATTGCTAGATCAAATATAGTTCTATTTTTAGTTCTTTGAGAAATCTCCATATTGTTTTCCATAGAGGTTGTGCTAATTTACATTCCTACCAACAGAATATCACACCCTAGCCAAATCTTTTTTGTTTTTGGCTTTATCTATTTTGTTTCTGTTTTCATTACTGCTCAGGCTCATCCCAAACTCCTGAGTTCAAGCAATCCTCCCACCTCAGCCTCCCAGAGAGCTGAGGTTACAGGCATGAGCCACCATGCCCAGTCTATTTCTGTCTTCAATTTCAATGAGTTCATGTCACAGTTCGGCAAACTTTTACTTTTTTTTTAAATTGTTTCTTGCATAATTTCTAACTTAGTACAATATTTAAAAGAATCACAAAAATAAGGATCAAATTTTCATGTGAGAAAACATGACATATTTATTTCTCAAACAGGAGGACAATAATAAGGAAAAAGAAAGATGGAGAGAGTTCATTTGTAATTGCTGCATTGTTTAGTCATGTATTAAAAAAAATTTAAAAATTGCTTCCCAAAGCAAGGTCAGTGTTTTAAAAAGTATGTCATTTAAATCTGTTTTTTTGTTTTGTTTTGTTTTGTTTTGTTTTGTTTTTTTAGACAGAGTCTCACTCTGTTGCCCAGGCTAGAGTGTCGTGGCATAAGCCTAGCTCACAGCAACCTCAAACTCCTGGTCTCAAGTGATCTTTCTGCCTCAGCCTCCCGAGTAGCTGGGACTACAGGCATGTGCCACCATGCCTGGCTAATTTTTTCTACATATTTTTAGTTGGCCAATTAATTTATTTCTATTTTAGTAGAGACAGGAGTCTCGCTCTTGCTCAGGCTGGTTTCAAACTTCTGACCTTGAGCAATCCACCCACCTCAGCCTCCCAGAGTGCTAGTATTACAGGCGTGAGCCACCATGCCCAGCCTAAATCTGTTTTATTTTATTTAAGAATATTATGGGGATACAAATACTTTGATTACATATATTGCCTTTGCACCACCTAAGTCAGAGGTACAATCGTACGCATCCCCCAGACATTGTGCACTGCACCCATTAGGTGTAAATATTAAATCTGGTTTTAATCCAATTTATACTTGAGATCATTATTATAACCAAAGCAGATACTGGATCTATATTAGAATCACTGAGAAGGAAACTTCCTTTGAAATATTAAATATCAGTGTTGGAACTTTGCTAGATCTCATGAAAAATTATCAAGATGCCTTTAAATTAAATATATATATATATATTATATATATATATATGTTACAACTAGCAAAGTCTCACTGTTAATATTTTTGAGGTTGAAACATTCTCTCCATGAAATAGAAGATTGTTGAGAAGGAAAAAAAGACATTTTGGGATAGTACAGATTTTATTATGCATTTCTTTGAAGTAAGGGGAAATATTTCAAAGAGAAATGATACAATATAAGATGAACTGGATATCATGCTGCATGGAAAAGCAAAGAGGCTATCAAAGACTCACAGGGCACACCAACATAAATTGTAAGAGAACAGTACAGTCTTCATGGCTGGGAAAATCTGCACTCCAGAACTGGCTCCTTGGATTCTGTATCCAATGCTTAGCACAATGCCTGGGATATAGTAAGTGAAAATACATATTAGTTGAGTAAATGAATTATAAGGTATCTGAGAATTAGGAAAAGGAAAAACAAAATTTGATCGTAGTAATAGAAAGGGAAGTAGAAGAGCACTAAAAATAAATGCACATACTTACATGTCTTATCTTCTATTGTCCTTACACCCATCACACAGTACCTCCACCCACCTCACACCACATACACCCACCACCATCCATCACTACTTGCCAACGAAAGTTCTGACTTGTGACACATATCCGACATCAATATGCCCTATCTGATCCAAAGGTATGGTTCCTGTGGCCAGATATTCAAACTTAGCCTTGGCAACAATGAAGAGGACTAGGCAAAGCCCCTAGGACATTTCCTTTGTTCATCCATTCAGTCATTTACTCATTACTTAGCCAATATTTGTGTGTTAGGCTCTTAGTCTACTGCTGGCAATATAAAGTTAAATAGGATATAGTCCTTGTAATCTAGAAACTCCCAATCCAGCAAACCATTATCTGTGAAATAAGAACTGTGTAAGTTATGTGAGGTGCTCTGCAAAAACCAAGGAGGTGAAGCAATTTGTCAGATCAAAGAAAAATATATTATAGCTTTCCCCTCTAAGTTGCTTCCAGAATCTTGGCCAAAGTCTGATAGATACTTGATTATTTAGTTTTGGATTTGTTTTCTGCCAGGTTGGGTCATGGCAGGAAATCATTTATCAACAGTTGGTAAGCACTGCGATCACTCAAGTCCTAGGTACATCCCTTTCTCTTCCACATCTCTTTGGTTCAAATGTGGTGTTAATAATATCACCATCTTCCTAATGCCCAAATTTAAACCTCACTCTTATCACAAAGTTTAATCCCCCACATCTAATAAGCTCCCTTGGGATTCAACTCCTGCAATGTTTCATACAACCTTACTGATCTTTCCAGTCCCAGCAACAACCACTTCCTTCTGGTCTTCATGGTCCTCAGCAAGAAGTCCCACAATAGCCTCTGACCAGAACAATTTTCCTAAAACACAGCTCCCATCATGCATCGCTCAAGAACACAGCTGTGCTAATCATTAAATTCTCATCAGCACTAGGCCATAGGAATCAATATGTGTTTGCTGGAATTGACCCCGGCTCCTGCTAATGAACTTCCCGATGTGAGGCAGAAGGAATTTAATATCCCTAGTATCAGCTTCACTGTAGTGTCAAGAATGCTTATGTCCACTAGCTGGAGTTTCTGGCTCTTTTCGACAATTGTAAATAAATTCAAGCACTGACATATTCTTTTTCTCCACCCTACTGTTTGGTTTATAACAGAGAATGACCACACTACTTCTCTTCATTGCTTCCTCTTTCTTTCTTTTTTCTTATCTATGCATGTATATTTCTATTTTAATTGACAAATAAAAAATTGTATGTATTTATAGTGTAAAACAATGTTTTGGTATACATGTACACAGTATTTACATATCTTTCAAAGTAGGTTATAATTATAAAGTTCACAGAGTCTTTTATATTCACTGCATTTCAGGTTGGCTACTTCCTAATGGTACAAAGGGCCAACAACCTGTCAGAAAATTGCCTCTGAGACATATCACATGAGTATATACATGTATATTCTTACATGCTAAAAAAAATATATTCCGAGGAGAAAGGAAGGCGCTCCAGTTCCGGGTCAGGCCCTTCTCCCGCCTCCCTCGGCCTCCGCCATGGCGAACAGTGGCGGCGCCGGGGCGGCGACGACGGCGGCGAACATGAATGCGGTGAGGGAGACCATGGACGTTCTGCTTGAGATTTCCAGAATTTTGAATACTGGCTTAGATATGGAAACTTTGTCTATTTGTGTACGGCTTTGTGAACAAGGAATTAACCCAGAAGCTTTATCATCGGTTATTAAGGAGCTTCGCAAGGCTACTGAAGCACTAAAGGCTGCTGAAAATATGACAAGCTGACTTTCTGGAGAAATTCTGATGAGATATGTCAAGCTCTGCAGGAGGATTTGAAGATTGCTTTGTAGTCAAGAATGTACAATGAAATTACTGCATGCATCAGTGTAGAAAAATTTTCCTTTTTATAAGAATTATAAAACCATAGCTTTATAAATCAGTGGAAAGTGGCTTACAGAGAAAACTATCAGATGTGTTTACATCACATCTTACTCACTTTTTTTTAACAGCTATAATGCTTTGGCATTGTTATGTTCATATTTATGTATTCCTTATTTATAGCTCTGATAGCTTTAATTTTCTAAGCAGTCTGTCTATCAGATGTGCACATCTGCTGTGCCTGGTTGAAGTATAGTGGAACCCATCAGTAGTGATGTGTGGTAGTTATGACTTGTTGACATTTCCATTATAAACTTTAATTTTGAATTGTTTATGCATAAAAACTGGATTTATGTTGTATTGGGCTGAAAGTTGACAGGATTTCCACTACCATTTGTGAATTTTGATTTAAGTTCATTATTATATCAGAATCTTGTTTTTTAAAAAATAAGAGCATGGAAAACATTTCTAGTAATCTGCTCTTTAACAAAGAATATTTAGTTTTTTAAACAGTTTGTTGGGCAGTTAATGTGAACCAGATAATTTTTGTATTGATTGAAAAATAAAACTTTTAGAAACTTAGATTTTAAAGGAAATGACAGTGTTTAGCCTAGCATTACTTATAGTTTGAATCATTTAAATCTAATGAAAATGTTAGTTGAGAATTTTTTTAAGTTTTTATACCCTATAAATGAAGACCTAAAAAATAATGTATAAAATGAAACATAGCCAACATGCAAAATTCCTGTTTACTTTTATTACATAAAAGTAATTTAAGTGCTTACCTGACAAATCTTGAGTGGTTATTTAATAAATCACTAGATAGGAGGTATGTTTCAACAGATATTTAGTATTTTCTGATGAAATAAGGATTTCTAGTCATTAAACAAAAACTAATCTAATGTTCTATATCAGGAATTATAAGTATGGCTTTTTAAAATCAGTTTATGTGTCCTTTTTTTTACCCTTAAAGCTATAACTCATCAAAGTGATGATATAAAATAAAATTTTAATATATTGATTCTGTTCCTATAACAGAATCTCAGTGAAATTTTTTTGGCAAGACTTCAGGATTTAATATGATTTTATTGTTTCTTAAATTTTAGATTTTGTTAGATACCATTTAAATGATAATACAAGCATTTGCTCTTTAGTAGCATTTTTTGTTTTTCAGACAAACTGAAATGGTTTTAATAAGACTTAGTGATATTGGTGTAGAACCTTCTGTGCTATTTTTAAAATGTAGGACTTTGACCATTTTGACTTTTTAAATGAATGACATTTTTGCCAAGTGCACTGCAAGGTCTATTATTGGCAGAACAGGTTTGGAGACACCAAGAACTTATGATAAGTCATTTGATAATAAACACTGCAAATACAGCATGTTGTTATTTATAAAATGTTAAAGAGAACACTTTTGTTAACCTTCAAAATTTGTATATGCTTTTAGGCCATAAGAGTTGATAGTTTTATTTATGAGTTTGTAGATTAAGTTATTTATCTATGAAACAAAACAGGAAAATATATTAAGAAGGGATTATGTTTACAGAAGATGTTTCTTTAATGTGTCACATTTCTTAAATGTAAACATATTTTTAATGCATACTTAAGTAATATTTAAGAAACCAAACAAAATAATGATACAATTGCAGTGTTGTGCTTGTTGTCAGTGACAATAATAAAACCATTTTGGTGGAAAAAAAAAAAAAAAAAAAAAAAAATATATTCCATAAGGATTTTTTTTAATGACCTTTTACCAAAGTCATCTCTAAAAACATTTGTGGAGTTCATCTTAATTGTGCCTCAGAGCCATTGTTCACTACCTATATAGGATGATAAATCTGAGTAAATAACCTAATCACTACATTTGGTATTGCGTAAACTAATATAATGGTCACGTGCGTTGAATGGTGCTATGGAGAGAATGTGTTCTCCAAAATTAACATGTTGGAAACTTAATTCCCAATGCAACAGTGTTGGGATGTCAGGCCTTTTGGGAGGTGTTTAGGTCTGGAGGGCAGAACTCTCATGGACTATCCATTATAAAAGGGCTTGACAGCTTTCTCTGCTCACAGGCATGGTGGTGGCAGCAGATGTGGCCCGACAGGCAGATGCCAGCAGGTTGGTGTACCTGTATGTACCAAGGAAATGCTTCACCAGCAACCGCATCATCAATGCCAAGGAGCATGTGTCCATCCGAATGAGCATAGCTGAGGTTGAGAAGGTTACAGATAGTAGTAATGGCCAGTTTAAGATCTACACCATCTCTGGGGCCATCCGCAGGATGGGTGAGTCAGATGACTCCATTCTCCAATTGGCCAAGGGTCAGGGCATCATTTCAAAGAACTTCTGACTCGAGAGAATCATGGATGTGGCATATGTCATAAATAGTGAAACACCCCCCAAAAATGGGGGGGCTTAACAGATGGGGCTTGGCTCCTTTTTGCCCTTCCTATTCCTTCCACCACATGAGAACACAGCATTCCTCCCCTCCAGAGGATGCAGCAGCAAAGAACTATCTTAGAAGCAGAGAGATTGAGACCTCACCAGCCAGCACCTTAATCTTGGACTTTCCAGCCTGCAGAACTATGAGACATAAATTTCTATTGTTTATAGATTACCCAGTCTGTGGTACTTTGTTATAGCAGCATAAAATGACTAAGATAAATGACTTTATCTGTTCTTTTTAAAGCCACCTCTACACATAGACAAAGTGGGAAGCTTCCTGGATAAGATGTCCTCCACAAAAACTGCACCTACCCAATGTTTTTCTGACACCACCTTCTAAAATTACTGCTAACTGGCTACCTCCCTAATGCTCCTTAGAGTTGAGAGATGATCTAAAAAAGAATGTATGGAATGTCAAGGATGTAAGAAGACAATAGTTATGCCAGCTAACAATGGAAGCCACTGACCATAGGTGGCTATTTAGATTTTAACTAAAGTTAAATAAAATTAAAACTTTAGTTTCTCAGTCAAACTAGCTGTATTTCAAAGCTTAATAACCATATGTGAGGCTGGGGCTAGTGGCTCAGCCTATAATCCTAGCACTCTGGGAGGCTGAGGCAGGCGGATTGCTCGAGGTCAGGAGTTCGAAACCAGTCTGAGCAAGAGCAAGACCCCATCTCTATATAAATAGAAAGAAATTAATTGGCCAACTAATATATATAGAAAAAATTAGCCAAGCATGGTGGCACATGCCTGTAGTCCCAGCTACTCGAGAGGCTGAGGCAGAAGGATTGCTTGAGCCCAGGAGTTTGAGGTTGCTGTGAGCTAGGCTGACACCACAGCACTCACTCTAGCCTGGGCAACAAAGAGAGACTCTGTCTCAGAGAAAAAAAAAAAAAAAAAAACAACCATATGTGGCTGGTAGCTACCTTATTGGACAGCAGAGAGAACAAAAACATTTCCATCATTTCAGAAAGTTTAATTGGAGAACTCTGCTATATAATTTAGGACATCAGCATGTATTAAAATCACCTTCAGGACTTGTTTAAAACAGCTTTCTAGTCTCCCAAGTTTCTTACCCAGTAGATCTGAGATAGAGCTTGAGAATTTGCATTTCTAATGTGTTCCCAGAGGATGCTGATGCTACTGGTCAGGATTCACATTTTGATAAGCACCAGCTTGAGGTTTAAAATCTCTGGTTTTTGAGAGAGAAACATCTGGGTTTGAATCTCAGCTACCTCTTATTAACTGTATGATGTTGAGCAATCTTCTGACCATCAGTTTTCTCATCTATAAAAAAACATAATAATGATTAATGAGATAATATAAATATAATGCTAAGTGCAGATATGCTCAATAATTGTTATCTATTATAATTATCTAATATCTGCCTAGAACATTTGTATTAACTAGCTGGATCCCACACAAAGAGTACAACTAGCAGAAGTCAGTCAAAAAATAAGTAGGCTTTGATGGTTGAGTGGGAAGCAAGTACAAGCAATCACTATTACAGCTCTCAGCATGGTTCCTATAAAGAGTGCCTTAGTGTATAAGATCCTGGGCTGCTGAGGTCCTCCCTGTGTCACTGGGTAAAAGTCAGATGACCCCAAAACATCAGGGGGATATGACAACACAACTTCACCAATTGCACCATTTTCTTTTTTTCTTTTTTTTTCTTTTTTTTTTTTTTTTGAGACAAAGTCTCACTCTGTTGCCTGGGCTAGAGTGCCTTGGCATCTGCCTAGCTCACAGCAACCTCACACTCCTGGGCTCAAGCAATCCTTCTGCCTCAGCCTCCTGAGTAGCTGGGACTACAGGCACATACCACCATGCCCGGCTAATTTTTTCTACGTATTTTTTTTTTAGTCAGCCAATTAATTTCTTTCTATTTTTAGTAGAGACAGGGTCTCACTCTTGCTCAGGCTGATTTCGAACTCCTAACCTTGAGCAATCCTCCTGCCTCAGCCTCCCAGAGTGCTAGGATTACAGGTGTGAACCACTGCACCCAGCCAATTGCACCACTTTCTAAGGATACCCAGATCCTCTCACCTTTAATAAAATTTAAGATATCTCTGCTTCATTCAGATACCTTGCCTGATAAACTGAGAAATTATGACTTTCTTTCTTCTGGTTGGTCTAAATCATCCCCCTAAAGAAAAGGGGGAAGATCTTTCACCCTAATGCACAATCATTAATGCTGTACATAGCAAAGTAAATCTCTTTCTAGTGTAGTCAGAATGGCAGTTGCTTAAAATACGTTTAGGTAAAGATACATTATTTTTTTAAATATAATCTTTTACCACAGGAAACAGAGGCTAAATCTTTTTAATGTATTTTTCTAATTAGGAAAATAATGCATGTTCATTGCAAGAAATTCAAGTATTACAGAAATGTTAGACATAGAAAATGACAATGCCCAGTAATCCCTTCCTCCACTTCTCCATATTATTACTATATAAAAATGGTATCACAGCATACAGGTTGCTGTGAAATTTGTTTTTTACTTAAAAATATACCTAAGCTTTCTTTACAATGTGAAAATGCATTGTTTGACTTCATTATTTTTAGTGGCTGGAAAGCATCATGTTGTGTGAAGGCAACACAAATTTACTTGTCCGGTTATTTATGGCTGGATATTTGAGCTATTTTAAGTTTTTCACTATTTTAAACAGGAACTATTGCATATTTTGTAAAGAACTTTCTTTTTTTTTTTTTTTTTTTTTTTTGAGACAGAGTTTCACTCTGTTGCCCTGGCTAGAGTGCCGTGGCGTCAGCCTAGCTCACAGCAACCTCAAACTCCTGGGCTCAAGCAATCCTCCTACCTCAGCCTCCCAAGTAGCTGGGACTACAGGCATGTGCCACCATGCCCAGCTAATTTTTTCTATATATTTTTAGATGGCCAATTAATTTCTTTCTATTTTTAGTAGAGATGGGGTCTCACTCTTGCTCCGGCTGGTCTCGAACTCCTGAGTTCAAATGGTCCGCCCACCTCAGCCTCCCAGAGTGCTAGGATTATAGGCGTGAGCCACTGTGCCCCGGCCAAGAACTTTCTTAATTTGGAATATTTTAACCTATTGTAATTTATATCGCATTCATTAATGCACTTTGTTTTACTTTTCAAATTTATTGTACTTTATGTCTTTGTGATATATTTCATTGAAAAATACACTGATTTTCCTTGAAATATTCTGGGCTTAAGACTCTTCATTTGATTAAGTTGATGTTATTCAATAATTCTGAATGAATGAGTGCAAAGTGGGAAGAAGAGATGAGAGGGA